ACACCTCAGTACCAAGACCAGCTAAAGTTGGGAAATCAGGATTACGACGAACAAACGAAGTAGAGTAATTCTCTAGTGTGCACGCTTGCCTTGATAAGCATTACGAATATTGCCAACAGCGTTCATGTCGAAGCTGCCGACGCCAGCTGGATTGTAAGCCCTTAAAATTAGCGCCTTGATGGTGGCTTGTGCAAGTAATTTTTATAGCTTATACCTTATGAATACAGTACTGTAGCCGTAGGATTTAATGCAAGTAAAGGTGTTATAATTTGCCAGAACATCCATATCCAAGGCATATCCATAGTATGTTGTCTGCAAAAATTCGATTTACAAAGTGCTACAAGCAAACCCTGCACAAGCCAAATCTCTCAGAATTACCTGATGCCCTGGAAGATTTACTGACTTAGCAAGGGAAATTGCCAGTAAGGTTAAGAAAACGATGAGTAGTTGCATGGCTAGATGATTGGGACTTGATAGAAGTTGTGCTATGATGAGTCTTATGTGTAAGTGCTAACGGAATAGAACCGCTTGTACTGACCATCGTCAGAACCTATTTAAATCCTTATCAAACGGGGGCGGACATGTTGTTGCCTTTTTTTCACCAAGTGATAAGAAGATGCTTATCTCATTTCTCAAAAACGTTTCAACGCTACTTTGCGTTATATGGTTTACGTCATACATTCTTGTTTAACCTATTGCATTAGTACCGCGAATGTTCTATCCATCGACAGGGAATATCTTGAACAAAGATCTATGAGGGTAGTTTGACAGAGTTCTAAAATGATGTCAAAAATCCAGAAAGTTTACATACTCAACAGGGCTGGCAAGAATATTATTATGGTGACTTCTAGTCTATTTGTGAACAAATGCTTACTGCATCCAATTTGATCTAGTACAATATAATTAGTCAACTACGGCGCTTTAAAACTGCTATATTAACGGCTCCAATTTTATCCCTAACATTTTTGTTTGCATTTTTTATTGTTAAGCCCCTTTTTTCAATTTTTTAAAGAATTATATTAACCTTCCAGAAAATGTAATTTATCTACCTGCTAAATTTATGTTGTTGATTTGGAAGCAGAAGAGATTCGATTTATAACATGATCTTTCTTTCAGAACACATATACTGTTGCACAACTCCCCCCTCCTTCCCTTTCCCCTCTGGCTGGATATATCCAGAAAATAGCCATAACCTATAGCTCTACGATTATTGGTACTTTCCCTGCAGAAAGAATCACATTTACTTGTTTTTTTGGAGAGAGAGGGATATGGCATATGTTTGTGTATACGTATAACATAGTTTTGTTACGCTTTGATACATTTGTTCAGAAAAGATGCACCGTTGCGGGTCTCTAGTGCATTCATCATTTATTTTGAAACGGGATAATCCCTTTGAGTCACAACTTTCTGAATGATCCTCTTTGCTCTATAACCGTTTTTCTACCGGAAAGTCATCCCTAAAAAATCTTAGCCATGATAACGGCCCAGCAAAGTTGTGACATCTGTAGACTTGGCAATGCCGGAAGTGGTTTTGAGTGAATTAACCTTTTTCCAGTGGATCAGTGATTCTGCTCAGAAATGTCAAATTGCCAAATGACAAGCAACGGTCGTACTAAGCACCTTTTTGTTGAATACATCCTGTCCACCCACGACTCCGATAAGGACAATGCATCTATAAAATAGAAAGATTGAAGCAACTCATCAAACACTTCAATTTCTTGATTATCTAAACCAAATAAAGGTTTGCTTCAGGTTTACGGTTTAATATTCAATAAACAAAGTGAGTTTTATTTTTAGCATTATGAATGCCCTCCTCATTCTTCCGTCTATATTTGCTCTATGCATCTCTAAGGCAGTGAATCCAGAGTCGTTGGTGGTGAGTATCGCGTTCAAAGAACAAAATTATACGTTGTCCATATTAGAAGTGTGTTATAACTTGGAACCAGTAATCATTCGAACTAATAAGTTTTGTTACTTGTTCAGAGTGACAATAAAGATTTTCCGTGGCCCAGAGAAATTTGTGTAAATTATTGATTTCCTAGAATAATCCGTTGCAGGCTGCAAGCACTTCCTACGCATACGCTGTCGATCTAGATAGACCTGTATCCTTGGCTGCATTT